ACTTCAAAGCATGAATCCTCGAAGTGATCGCTGCAAACGTAGCAGTTCTTCAAAGGCGGCAGGTTCTCTCTCTTTATCCGCGCTATCCATGCCTTCTGAAGAGCTATTTTGTTAGGAATTTTGTGGTAGCTAACAGACTCAGTTTTGGAAGAATGGTTGGTGCATTCTGGCACACAACAATGAACCATCTGGATTAAGAAACTTACTCTAACTTAGACTATTAAAAGATCGACTAGCACTCGAAATATACAAACTCAACAAGTTTGGAATGCAAGCTTCACGTTGTGACGTCACGGCATTAATGCGGTAATTTATTGCGGGCTCAAATATGGCGCTCTTCTATTGGTATTTTTCGCGAATTGATTATTTCTTTTCGGCGACATAGAAGCTGTATCAGAGTTCAAAGTTGAATTTATGTGATCTATGTACGTTGTAGTTTTATATGAAAAACGGCAATTTTTGGGGTCAGTTGTCCTTTAAAAAAACGTCTCCTTCAACACTTCCCGCTCGCCTACGAAGGTTCGTGCTGTAAACCAGGCATAACTAGTCAGATAAAATTATGGAGTCAACTCGGCTTCAATGATTACTACCCAGAGTTCCTTTCGGTCCAGTCGCGTAGGCTTGAGTTGGTCGATGACAACATTTTTTGAATTGACTGTATATCTGAATTACTGGAAGTATATAGTATTAGATTTTCTTAAGTAGCCCAGAAAAGAGCAAGAGAAAATAAATATTTTTGTTCTTGTCTAATGATCAAGACTAGAGTCAGTTATGTATAGACTGGATTATGATATTGGATATCATTAACCTATAACTTACAAAACTCTCTTGACTTGAAAAATATATTGTTTGTATTTAACTAAATACATTATTACAGCTTTGAGTTGCAAGTCTTACATAGGTTCTTAAAGAAAATAAGGATACAAAGTTGAGAAAAGGTTGATGAACATAGTACAACATATTGAACAATTTTATTGAAAATATATTATTATTTGAATACCTTCATACGAGCAATCGAGAGACGAGTAAACTGAAGCACTGAAAAGGACAGCGACGACCAAAAGTCCAGTGCACAGCACATTAGAATAACACATAATGATAGATAAAACTTGTTAAAAGAGTGTAAAGCACAAGGAAAGGGTGTTAGAGATTCTTAATGTTTTCGGATATCAAACACGTCAGGTGAACTATCGATCTACAGAACAATCCGCTTCAGGCTATATTTTTACTTACGTAAAGCGACGAGACACCTCAATTATTTCAGTCGTTTGCTTGTCTAGTAAACGTCACTTAGAACATTCTAAAATATTCAGTATAGCGTCAAATTATGCTTAAAGAAATGCACACGAAACATTTCTATCTATTCTTAGATGTGTTTTAAAAATAATAGACGAGATACAAAGAAAAATCTTGTTTTTTCTCGAACGATGATATTAAACGTGCCATACTTATAAATTATTTCAATTGACGAAGGATATCGGTAGCTTCATTAGGATCTTTGGAATGTTTCAAAACAGTCGTGTATACGAGTTAGACGCTGGCAGCAGAATGGTAATGAATGAAGAATTGGGTTTTGGGCGGTGTAAAGTTATACTTATAAACATTTAGTTCATAATCCATATGTAATACTATGACGAGTGTTTGTATATAAGTATGTACTAGTTATAGCAAGTGTGTGTCGAATGTTTTTTTTTTTGTTGTTGTTGAAAGTTATAAACGTTTCTTAAATAATATTTCATTAAGTTTAACAAAGGCTTTGAAATCAAGCATTTTCTAGTAAAATTGTTTAGTATATATGTGATGTATGGTTGAAGTTTTCAGATTTTGTCGTGTAAAATATTCCATCCTATCTTTCTACACCCTTCAGGCTATTAAGTAGACCTTTTTCGAATTCACTTGAGTGACCATGAAAGAGTGGCTCCAGGTCGAGGTTGGACTTGATAAGATAATAATAATAATGATGAGGATGATGAGGATGAGGATGAGGATGAGGATGAGGATGAGGATGAGGATGAGGATGAGGATGAGGATGAGGATGAGGATGAGGATGAGGATGAGGATGAGGAGGAGGATGAGGATGAGGATGAGGATGAGGAGGAGGATGAGGATGAGGATGAGGATGGGGATGAGGATGAGGATGATGTGCTTAGCTAACAGCTACTTTACAGCCATGCCACGTAAAAATAGACAAAACCAAGTAATTTAAAAACATATATAAGGATATAGACTATAAAAATATGACTAAAACATAACAAGGCAACTCCCTGTATACGATATGTATGTAATGAATTAATTAGGATGGAAATACGCAGTAAATGTATGAAAGATCAAGTGTAACTTTGACTTGGCGCCATTCTTTCGTGGTCACTCAAGCTAATATACCTCCTCGGCTTGGGAGTTATGTTTTCCATTTCAGACCACGTGTCATTCCCTTGAGAATGAGATTCTTTCTTGGAGTTGTATCCATATTCATGTGTCTTCTCATGTACAACCGAGCGCAACCGTTAAATAAAGAAAGGATAATCTATAGAATGACACGTGGTCTGAAATGGGACATCATTACGCCCGTGTCGAGGAGGTCTATTCGGGAAAGGTACATCAATAAGTACAGATTTCATTGCATGTGTCAAGTGTTGTTTAATGAAACTGCTTTCAGGTATTAACAATATTTTTTTTAAATCTATCGCAAAAACAAAAGGACGACCACTGAATTGGCGTGTTTGTGCCACATGCTTCGTGGACTATTGTTACAGAACCGATGTTAAACTAACTCAGATCTTTCCTATAACATAATAGATGAGGTAGCTGAGCTCTGTAAGGAGAATATTGAGACCTGATAATTGATAATTGAGCTCCACAAGAAAAATACCTGCAGATGAATATTTCACAAAGATATGATTGTAAAAGGTTGCTATGTTTCTATCACAAGTATACACATGTACTCATCGAGTACGTTTTATTTTTGTTGAGAATTTACGATTGCTAGTTTTCGTATAGCTGCCATGTGAGTGGTTGAATTTAACAAAAATATTATTTTTCTTTGTTTGTTTCGTTATACCAACCAACATTGCAGCCATCTTTCTTATTTAAAGGATTGCAAGCCATGCAGGCATTTTAGTTTGGGTGGGCAGGCACTCGACCGGCGGTACTGGCAAAGATAGACTATTGTAACCCTCCCACCCATCTCGATTTCATCATTGGACGCGTACACTTTAGAAAAAAATGAGGCAATGATAATTAAGCCAAAACAAGCAGTAGTACAGCAGTCTAAAAGAAATATTTGTTCATTCGGCGAATAACTTGTTGTCCATAGTATATTGTACATTATGGTTTAGGCAAATGTTTGGTTGTCGATATTGTCTTGCTGGTTCCTTGATCCTTGCTTGATTTCCAATTCTTCCTCGTTCAAATTTCCTTTTGACATCTAGATAAATTTTGAAGAAAAATAATGTTAAACTAAATTTTATATAAAAATRTTTAAACTCGTCAGCTCTTCATCTACTTCATCTAGTACTTTACATGTTTCAGATCTATCCTTTATATGTTCTAAACCCGTGGGAATATTTCCCACGGCATACAACCAAAGTTACGTTAATACTGAATGAATAAAAGATATAGATAAAGAGTATAAGATATTATTAAGATATAGATGTAGTTAAGATACATTGCTTTGACTTCGATTCTAATAGTTGTGACATCAATTTTTGGGTTTTTAACAAAAGTTCATTTTAACGAAAATATTATTGAAATTGGTATTACTTGTTGAGAAAGTTCGATTTGAAGTCTTTTCAGTAATTATTTCTTCTAAAGAATAACAGCAAGACTATTAGACTTATTAAGAATCCTAGCAGGCTGTTATCAACCAGGCATATAAGCCTTTTGTAAGATAACGATTTTAATTAGATCTATGATGATAGTCCAGCGTTTTTTCGTTGGTAATAGATCTTCGTTCTATACCGCAACGTTCCTTGATTACAGACTCGTTTACTCAGAGTTAGCCTGATTCCAGCCTCAATATATTCATAAATACCAACGGTAAAGTAAAGAATGCACAACTTGAACGATAGAAACTCACCTGGCTATTATTCAACATTGCTTTCAGAGTATTGCAGATTTGATCGAAAGTAGGACGTTGTTTAGGATTGGCTTGCCAACACATCTGCATCACGCGATATCTGTAAGAAGAAAGAATAAGGAACACCTCGTCATATTATTTCGAATGACGTCAATTTCGAGGAGCGCGCGTGCGCGTAAAAAAACGTGCGTACAAAGGATGCGAGTGAGAAATTCGCGAGCGTCCATGATTACAAACCAACTGACTCGAAAAGTCCCCTTCACATTTTCCTGCGCCATCTTGACTGGTAGCCGTGGCTTTGCATCGAAGCGAGACGAACAGTGAGCTTGTGAATAATTGTTCAAGGTGTTTAAAAAAGGTCTCTATCATTGCAAGCTCTGTTAGAGTTCTATTAGAGTAAACTTTATAATGCACATTCTGAAGCATAAAATCCTTGTTTGGCGTGTACTGAACCTCGCCCTTTTATCTCATGACAGTCGTGCAACGTAGAAACATATTCAATTTGAAGTAAATTCTAAGAATACCGAGCTTACAATTCATCGGGTGTTCCTTCAGGTTGCTCCAATCTGTAGCCTTTCTTTTGTTGTTTAAGCAGTTCCGTGAAAGAGATAGCTCCATGTGGCATGAGGCCTTCAAAAATAAATGTCATTATGATCGTCAGCGTAACTTGAGAAAGCAGCAATAAAAAAAGGTCATGATTCGTAGAAAAAACCCTCTGTACTGATCAAATTCATCCGGGCATTGCTAACTCACAGGTTGAAATCAGTTTGGCGTATTGGGTTTTGCTTTGGCAGGAAAACCGAAATATGGCGACCAATTCAATATCTATTGATCTGTACTGACTAGCGACTGAATATTCTTGTGTAGATAGAAAAACGTTTACACTTGTATTAGAGGCTAGTCAGTCGTTAGTGAAAGCAAAACGATAGTTATACGAATTAGTCGCCATATTTCGACTCGGTGTATATGGGTTAATTATGTGGTAACACGACCCGAATAAAAATGAAGCAATATTATTGGTTGTAATGTGGTTTTTCAAAGGCAGAACCAAACTTAGATATAATAGAATACTGACCTTTAGTTTCAATTTCCCACAAAAGAACTCCAAAAGACCATCTTAAAAGAAAGTTTAAAATAACTTGAGCCAAATAATAAAAAAAATCAAGAAAAAATAATTTAAATACACAAGTTTAAATTGTGAAAATACACTATTTCATGCTTACACATCACTCTCCAAAGTAAATCGCCTCAGCTCCAAAGACTCGATAGCCATCCATCTAGTTGGAAGCTTACCCTATTAAAAAGGGTGCAAAAATGTTAGCGAGTATATACTCAAATCAATTCTTGTATTTTCACATGAAGTTACAGACGTCATTTTGGTGTACCATTGACAACAACTTTTTCATTAGTTTCTTTCGTTAGGTACACCAATATGGCTGCCATCTGTGATGTCAGTAAACTCTCTCTCAGGGACTGAGTGAAAACGCTCTATTAGTCGTTCGTTTGACCACATCTCAAACCCATTTAACTAATTTTAACGAGATTGAAAAACAGTAACAGAAAGGTTTTTGTTTGCTTAAGAAAGTAATATACTATGCATGATTAACATAGTTAATACTCACCACTGTAGTCTTCTCGTATTCTCCCGTTTCGTAGATATCACGAGACAAGCCAAAGTCTGCTACCTTTGCAACAAAGTCGTCTGCCAACAGAACGTTCCTTGCAGCCAAGTCACGATGAACGCACTATGAGAAGGTATAACTTTAACTTACAAAACAAGAAAAAAGGCAATGCTGCATGTTGGATGTTGCATATTGCCTGTTGGATGTTGGACGTTGCAGGCTGCATGCTGCATGTTGAATGTTGCTTGTTACATGTGGCAAGTTGTATGCTGTATGCTGCATGCTGCATGTTGCTTGTTACATTTGGCAATTTGCATGCTGCACGCTGCATGTTGCATGTTGCATAATGCGTTCTGCTTACTATTAAACTTGACATGTATTTTATTTACGTGTAAATAATTTCAACACGGAAGAAAAATATTACGGAGAAACTGCAAACGAAGTCTAAGGCAATTTAGGCCTGGTATGCATCATGCAACAAAACCGGCACCAAACCTTTTTTTTTCAAAAATAGTTGTATATTGTAAATAGCTTACCCTTCTTTTTGCCAAATGGGTCATTCCTTTGGCCACATCTAATGCAATCTTTAGCCTATTAACATAATTCAGCTCGAATTCTAACTTCTCTTCTGGTTGTGTGCGTGCTTTTCGTAAGAACTCAAACAGCGATCCGTTACGGGCGAATTCGACGATTACAAACAGCTTTTCTGGAAAAAAAATCAATATATTATTAGCTGTAGCTTCGAGGAACTCATGTGGCTCGATGGGACTAATGTGTCTCTTTTTTATCTTTTTGATAAGCAAATGCTTTGTTTTCATTTTATTAATCCAGTGTATAACCTGTAAAATCTAAATAAATTAAAGATTGTAAATCTTTTTTATATGAGTACAAGTTGAAAAATCCCCATATTTTTTACAGCATGCCAGTTTGATTATATTTTTTCTGACCTTACTTCCATTACACTTGATAACACCTAGCACATTGTATTTTGTATACCCCTGTCTTTTTTTCAATAACGGCAGGACTTTCCACTTTTCCCGCCATTCATTATGATAAAGCAGAATAGTCCCCTTCACAGTTCTCTTCGCCATCTTGAAAGGTAGCCGTGAATTTGCATCGAAGCGAGACGAACGGTAAGCTTGCAGTGATAGACGCATGTGAATAGTTGTTCAAGGTGTTTAAAAAAGGTCTCTATCATTGCAAGCTCACCGTTCGTCTCGCTTCGATGCAAAGGCACGGCTACCTTTCAAGATGACGCGGGGAACTGTGAAGGGGACTTTTTAAAACACGGTTCATTTTCTTAAAATTGCCATGCGATTGTTTAACTAATAATCCTGAACGTAAGCAACAGAGAATAAAATATAAAGTATTAAGATTTGAAGTATAAAGATTTTACCATTTGTTAGAATCTAGTTATAGGATTGTTTAAAATATGGTTTATCGTACCTTCTTCAACGCAGGAACCAATCAAATTCACCAAGTTAGAATGAAAGCCAACATTTACCATGATATCAAGTTCCTGGTGAAGCTCACGGTAATCTTCTGGATTGGCTGTGCCTATGACAAGAGAACATTTATCACTATCAGCCATTCCGAGGTTGAGTGAAAAACTGGGTCGAGTTGTCATTGCAATGCATCGTGGGGCTGATTTAGGATTCGAAATAACCTCCATCTAGGAAATAGCGATATCCACTGTTTACAAACATTGACGTCCCCCAAAACAGTCCCACAATGCACTGCAATGACACTCGACCCAGTTTTTTCCTCAACATCGGAGTGGCTAAAGGACAATAGACCTTATTCGTGGTGTGACAATGTTTTCCCAATTCAGCATGACAAACCTCTGGGGGAATGAAGAGCTATTGTTTTGAAACTCGTCGGGATATCATCGTTATTCCTTTCGTATCATTTGGGACACTCATGAATTTTTCGAAGAGTAAAAACAAAAGAAAATGAATCCCCTGGAGGTTCGTCACGCTGAATTGGGAAAACATTGTCACACCACGAATAAGGTCTATTCTGACTCTACTTTGCGATTTGCTTTCACACATATATCGTACAGCTGCTCAGCCATCAGATTTTTTTTACTGGAATTTGATTCTGGTCTAACAGAAATGGCTCTGTGACTCTCCTATACCTTTTAGTGTCTTCACTGCACATTCTTTGGAATGGCCGTTTTGTAGTAGTTGCCCTTTGAATACAACGCCAAATTCTCCAGACCCAAGTTCTTCCATTAAGACCAGGTTCTCTCTCGCAAAGCTCGGGCAGTTTTCATTGACACTAAACATTGTGTTGACGTACGATTCTGGAAAAGCATCGGCTTCTTTTTCCTAATAATAATTGAAAAAAATCCGGTTTTTATAATGTTTTCCAACTGGTTTTAATGAGACAAGAAAAGCTATTAATATATATGGATGTGAGACCAGTTAAGAGGAATTGCGCATGGCAAGCAACATATCCTCATTGTCAACAGATTATATTAATTCTATCACATGACCAAGGAGGCAGGATATTACATCAGATAGGACATCACATGCGTCAAGTCAATCAAACTTAAGGTAAGTCTCTTCTAATTTTCCAAGTTTCCGGAAACAATTTGATGAAGGGGATTGTAAATTGTATCGAATAATGGTTGCTTGTTCCTTTGGACACTCATCAGTTATGGATCTAAAACATGGAATGACGTAGTTAGGTGGTATGGGCTATGAAAAAGTACTTTTTCTTTAAGGTCTAAGTAGTTTTAATTAGGAGTGAATACGGAAGATCTCTCAGAAGGACAGAGAAATCCTTGGTCAACTGACTAAGAGTTAGACCTTTTAGCTAAATGTAGTTAACATTTCAGGCCGACGTTTCATTCCCTTAATTAAGAGCAAATTTCTATTTTTGCTTTGTTTTGTTTTGTTTCGAGGTACATCATCCTTATTAAGATATCTTCTTAAGCTTCTTGGACAAACAACAGGATAATAGCCAAGAATGTGGTCTGAAATAGAAAGAAACCTATCGTTCATTATTTACAAACCTTCGGAATAGCTCTCATGTCAAGCTCTTCGATCATTTTGTTGGTGGAAGAGTTTTTACGACGACAGTATACAATAAGAATAGCCATGACAGCGATTAAGATGATGATGCAGACGATTATGATGATCGCCAAAAGCCAATCTGGCATATTATTTGGTCCTATGTATATGGAAAAAAGTTATATTGATGCACTTATACTGAGCAGGGACAGATAACAGCTATTTTGAAAAGGTTGGTGCATGTTTTGTTGGCATGTTGCATGTCGGATGTTGCATATTCAAATCCCAAAATGCACTACTGGGGACGTTAATCCAATCAGCAAAAGTTTACAACCATATAGAATTATGCAACATTCAATATTCAATACTCAACATGCAACATACAACATACAGCATGCAACATGCAACAAATAACATGCAACATACAACATGCAA